CAGACTAGCGTGTCTACAGAAGTCTGCAACAACAATGAAACCATAAAAGTCACATGTTTTTCCTTATTCCCAGCTATCAGCATTTCCAAACGATGTCAGTGAGAAGCTAATTCTCAAAAACAAGCGATTTTTTTGGCTGAGGCTCTAAACGACTAGTGCAGCTATCCATAAGTCTGAATGTACACTGGTATTGCTTAGCCTTTAAACAGCCTCGTGTTTACACGCAAGTTATTGCAGAACTCCAAGACTGGCAGCTGCACATTCAGACTCAGGCTCAGCTTCACACATTGGTTTCAGAAATAAATCCGTAGTAATTTAGAATCTTTCAGTTCCAGCACAGTTGGTATCTCCAATCCCTGCACTACTGTTTGTCCTTGGATTCAGAGAGAGCTGACAGGAACTGTGATAGCAGCGGCTGCAGAAATGGAGAGATGAGACTCGAATCACTTCAGTGCAGTCACTGTGTGTGACCACCGGGAGCCTTTTGTGTCTAAACTCTTCCACAGCAAATTTCAGGATAATAATTCTGCTGGGTAAGTACAAATTGGAATTCATATACGAAATATTGAATTTGAGAATAGTTATCTTTAAGACAAATGTATTCTTTTTTAATCATTCATAATTTGAATGAAACAAATGATTAAGTGACTGAAAACTCAAGAAGAAAATTCAGAAAATGTCTGCTGATAACATAACTTTTACTGAAAAGAATTTTTTCATGCAGAGGACAGAAGAGTGAAAAAGTGCTTGCTGTAGGAGTCAAGGGTGAGCTTTCGCTGCACCCCCTCTGCCTGACCACCCCACAGAAAATCAGCAGCCTTGAAGACCGGGGAACAGCAACGCGTGGCTCAGCCAAGAGTCTGACTTTTTGTCTGCAGTGGTAAAATGCTAAAGCTCACTTCCAAGCAATGCCATATTTCTGGTCTCTTTTTGTGAGTAAAGAATGCCCTTTCAAAAAATATATATGCTTCTACAATGATCTTTATTTTTTACTTAAAACACATACTCCATATGAAATCGATGGATTTTCTTCAAACTCAAATTATTTCCAAGGTTTCCTCAAATACAAATGATCATCAAATTCCCAGTGTCGGGTAGTGGTGCCACCAACACCGACAACTGCTTCTGTATCCTCCACTCTCTTCCATCCGTGGCCTCCCAGCTATGCGTGGGGCTCTTATGAACCTTCTATAACCCAACTGCACACAATCAAACGGCTCCTCTTCCCAACTACCCAGTTCCAGACCCACTTTAGACATTTGCTGAAGGCAAGAGTCATCACCATATCATTTGAGTCTCCTTCCCTTCTCTGCCACTTACATAGCCCTGGACACATTGTAAAGGTCAATGGTCTATTTTAGTTTATCTAACAAATACTGATCACATGCTTACTACAAGTCACAGGCTGGAACATAAATTTGTTGTGGGGAGGTTCACGCCTAACAAAGTGTTACTTTATCCCTATTAAAGTAAAACAGGCAATTACCATATGCCCCAGCAATTACATTCTTGGGCATCTATCCCAGGGAACTGAAAACTCATTTTCACACAAAAACCTACACACAAATGTCCATTGCAGCTTTATTTGTAATACCCCAAAACTGAGAAGAGTCCAGATGTCCTTCAACGAGGGAGTGGCTAAACAAATCATGGTCCATACCTATCATGGAACACTATTCAACAGGAAAAAAAGAATGAAATATTGATCTACTAAAAACTTGGGTAAATTTCTAGGAAATAGGCTGAGTGAAAAAGGCTAATCATAAAAGGTCATAAATCAAATGATTCCATTTTGGAAATGACAAAATTTTAGAAATGGAGAACAGGGCCGGCGCCGCGGCTCACTAGGCTAATCCTCCACCTAGCGGCGCCGGCACACCGGGTTCTAGTCCCAGTCAGGGCACCGGATTCTGTCCTGGTTGCCCCTCTTCCAGGTCAGCTCTCTGCTGTGGCCAGGGAGTGCAGTGGAGGGTGGTCCAAGTGCTTGGGCCCTGCACCCCATGGGAGACCAGGAGAAGTACCTGGCTCCTGCCATCAGATCAGCGTGGTGCGCTGGCCGCGGCCGCCATTGGAGGGTGAACCAACAGCAAAAGGAAAACCTTTCTCTCTGTCTCTCTCTCTCACTGTCCACTCTGCCTGTCCAAAAAAAAAAAAAAAAAATGGAGAACAGATTAGTTACTGCCGGGGATTTCAAAGAGGTGAGGCAGGTGTGTGTGGCTATGGAAGGGCACCAGGAGGGATCCTTCTGGGTGATGGAACTGTTCAGGCTCTGGATTGTGGTGATGGAAACACAAACTACACATGTGATAAAACTGCACAGAACCAAATATAAACACACATACAAACAAGGACAATAGGATCTGGGGAACCAGAATAAAATGGAAGGACTAAAGGTTACTATCCTATAAATGTTCCTATCCTAGTTGTGATATTTATCATAATTTTGCAAAACATAAGGAACAAATCTTTATGGAAGCTCTGAATTATTTCTTACTAGCTGCATCTGAATCCACAATTATCTCAAACAAAATCTCAAACTCTTAAACACTTTGTATATGGTGCTTGGTAACCACGAGGTACCAATTTAAGCACTTAAACATGAATTCATTGACTCCTCCAAACAACCACATGTTGCACGTACTGTTATTATTCCCATTTTACAGATAAAGAAACTGAGGTTAAAGAACTTGTCTAAGAGGCACCTAGCAAGTATGTAAGTAGTGGAACCCAATCCCACTGCAAGCAGTCGATCTAGAACTGTCCCATCTGAGATCTCGGCATTTTACTCTTGAAATCTGGGGATGGAAGGATGCAAGAGACCCTGAATCCTGACAGCTGCTTTTCCAGAATGTTCCAAAATCCAAGCAAAAGTATGACCAATCCTTCCCATCATAAAGCCAATCATAAACTTCACATGCTTTCAACTTGAAAGGAAATTAACAGAACTGCTGGAATCCAATGTAAAACCTTGCACCAGGTGGGAGCATGAATGTTTTCAACACTTGAAAGCAACTTGCCACGGAGGTTAGAAACTCAGACAGAGTCAGCCACATTTGGGAGCACGTTTCACGGGGCGAGAGTGAAGAGCCCGAAGAACAACATGCATCTGGGAGTGGATGAAAGGGGAAAGCTGAGGCTGGCGGCCACAGGACCATGTAATCGGGTCATGCTTCCCACACAACTGCCGCAGCTCCCGCAGGCCCGCTGCCCCGGTGCTGGCCGACCGTATCTTCTCTGGCACTCCCTCTTGGAACCCTCCATGAGCACTCGGCCTTATCAGCTTCAGCCCACAAGCTCTTACAAATGCTCGCCAGCCTGTGCCCTCGGGACTGAAACGCAGAATTTATGTGGCATTCTAGAGTTGCAGGCCTACAGCAAGGCAATCTGGCTCGGAAGATTTTCAGATTATCAAGTGGGGCAGGCAGGAATGTTATGGCCTCTGTGGGTGGACATGGGGACATTCATCAAAAAGACAGCTACTGTGAAATCACGGTCTCTCTTTCCCACTGCGATGGCGTGGAGCTGGGGCATGTGCACACGCATGTGTGTGTGGACATGTATGTGTACCGACCCAAGTTATTTTAGCAGAGAATCGCTTCCCAAGACAGGGCACAGGAGGGCTATAGACCCCTACTTTCCACAATACAAACTCCAGTCAGAAGGGCCTTGTAACTTAACACTAAGAGCGAAAGCCCCAGCTCACAGTTTCCACTGGGTAAACGGTTCAACCAGCAGATCACGAGTGGCCCAGGCTGCTGGGACACGCCCTCTGGGGAGGCAGGAGGAAGGGCCAGGCTCTCCCGGCTTCTGAGGCAGGAACCCTGGGAGAGACTCTCAGTCCAACCTCAGCTGGTCAGTTGATGAGAATTAAGTGATCACTGGGCTGGAAAAAAACAAACTTCTTCATAGTCTGTAACTTCTAGGATGAACCCTGGGCAACGGAGTTGAGGACGGCCATCAAGAACGAGGCATCTCAGCGAGCTGCCGTGTGTCTGTTTTCATACTTAAAGGACATGTCTTCTGCTCAAGGGCTTAAAAGTTCCACTCCCAGCTAGGAGAGGGGTAAACAGAGTTTTTGATGTCCACCCACACACCCGCCTGCCCTCACTTCCTGCTCCCAGAGCCATGTCAACGTCCTGTGAAGAGGCGACCACGGGCTTGAGAACAAAGGCTTCGTGGGACATGGCGAGGTGGACAGATGGAAAGGCCCTGGGTCCCAAAAGATCCCATTTAGCCACCACCCCGCGCCTGAGCCAGCTGCCTACAGGCCTCTTGCAAAGGGGATGACACACACCCTCTGTTTAAGCTACCATCTGATGGGTTTTCTGTCTGTTGGCACTCAAATGTTTCAGGACAGTTCCCCTACAATGACCTTGCTCAATAATCAGAGTTGCCAGGACATGCTGACACTTGAATCAAGGCTGGGGGACTCATTAGCCTATCACTTAAATCTGAAGCCCCCAAGTTTAAAAAAAAAAAAAAGATGTAGCACCCACAAACCTACCCATTGCCTGGAAGTCTGGTGTTGGTGCTCAAGGCCCAAGAGATAAACAGGAAGAGGAGGGTGGAGAGAGGACAGAACAGGAAGAGAGAAAGAGATGAGACAGGAAATGAGTGCCCTTTAAGAATGAATGCTTTTTTTTCTTTTTTTTTTAAGGGATGCCCTGGTACTTTTCAGACTCAGCATGTCCCCAGTCCAGAATGACTGTGGGCTGGCTCTCCACCAACACACAGCTCTGAAAAGGCTACACCCCCATCGGTGGAGCCCCTCAGCCACATGGGACAGACGTGTGAATGACCGATGGCTTCTTGCATTGCCTGTGCATGACTTGGCTAGGCAAAACATATTTTACATTAGCTTAGGTCCTGACATTCTATCATGTTCCCTGTCAAGAGGCCAAGTGGTTCTTGGAACCCTGCACACCAAGTGACATATAACAGAACCCTAGCGAACGAGCTGGCTCTTTGCCAAGTGCCCTCAAATGAAAGGCTCTTCTTACCTTGCCCACCTGCATCTCTGTGGTCAGGCTGGCTGGACAGGGAGCAGAAGTCACCTACAGAAAGGTCAGCATCCTCAGCCAGCGACTAAGGTGCTTTTCAAGGAGCTGAAGTCCCCAGGGTGTGGGGCTGAGCCTGAGCTGCCTCGGGCAATCACAGCACCTAGATGGGAGGTGAAAGTGGCACAGTGTGGGACGCTCTGGAAAGAGCGTGAGGATGGCTATTAAAATGAAACCTTCCTTTCCAGCTCCAGGGAAGCTTCTCCTGCCACCCTCAAGGGACACTCCGTCAGGCTGTAAGAAGAGAGCCTTTAAGCGCCACCTCATATGACACTGCCCCGAATGCCTGTGGACGCCGACTGGGGTGTCTGCCTTCCTTACAGAGTGTCAAAACCCTCCGGCCAAGCTCCCCCAAGGCTCCCAACAGTGAGGACACCTCCTGGGGTGGGGGTGGGGGTGCTGCCCTCTTGTGCTCTCCTCTCTGCCCGCCCCAGGACCTGCCACCCGCAGCCTCTTCTCCGGTGCTTCCTGGGTGCCTGTGTCGTGCTCAGAGCTGCACGGGGCTTGGCAGAACACCCCTAAGACACATAAGGCAAAGTCCCTGCGCTATGTACCTTTGTATTCCAAGGTGAGGGAATGAGTGACTCAGGACTGAGTGGAGGGGGATGGATGGGAGATGTGGAGGGAAGAGCACAGAGGAAGGGCAGTCCCAGGGAAGGGCTGGCCGGCAGAGGCTTCTTAGAAGAGGTGGGACTTGCTCAAAGGCTTGAGGGAGGGGTGAGGGAGAGTCAGGGAGGATAGAGGAGATGGAGACAGCAGAAGTGTGATGATTCTAAAGGACAAGGTGGACTCCGGAGCCAGGAAACAGCCAGCACGATGGCTCCGAGGGATAATGAGAAATGCACTTGCAGAGGCAGGCCTGTGCCACATTCTAGCTACCAACCAACGATGCCCCAGTCCTGCCCGGGAGCACCTCTACCCCAACACCTGGCCTGTGCCAGGCTCAAAGTCAGTGCTCAATAAATGCTGAGGAATGAACGCATAAAAATTATTAAGTGCCCTTGGCCTTGCTGGAGGCCCCAGTCCAAGAAACAGAACAGTGCTGGACAGCGAGGACTGCTAGCTGCCACGTGGGCCAGGCAGGTAACAGAAGGGTAACTGGCTGAAGGTGAGCAGCAGGAGCAGGTGGAGACGGTGGCAGAGCAGACACCCCACCCTCAGCCCCTGCCTGACTGCAGCCCAGCACAGCTGCCAAGATGTGTGAGCCACAGTACCACACCTTTTAACGGTTATGTGAAATCCCCCAACTTCAAATGTTAGCAATGAACTTGACTTTGAAAAAACATTCATTGTGCAGATCAAATAAAGCACACCTCTGAAGATGTATTCATCCTGTCAGCAATCTTTGGCTACACAGGATAAAGTTTCTAAGAAGTTCCCCACAAACGGATCTGTGGTGGCACACATACAGATACAGGTACAAAGGGGGCCCTGGACTGGAGAGGGTATCAGGGAGCCCCTGGGAGGCTGGGAATTCCCCCCCATTTTCATCTGTGTGGTGGTTTCAAGAGTGAGGAATGTTTAGAATTTCATCCAGCTGTACACATACAGGTGATGCACTTTGTGATCTGTAGGTTATAACTCAATTCAAAAAGTACAAAAGTAGGTAAACAAAGAGTCCCCCAGAGCTGAACAGGGAACTCCGTGGAGAGTGCTTTAAGTGATGCTGCACCTTCCACCTCATGTTTCCTGCTGCCACCCTCCTTACCCTCTAAGACCTGGCCAGGGCATCACTTCCTCCAGGAAGCTTCTCTCAGCACACCCTCCCTAGCCCAGGTCTGCCCTTGGCTCAAATGGGCATTCCCTGATACAGGCCTTTGAATGCACCTTCCCCCCCCCCCAATGGTTTTCACCTCCCTAAGGGCCTGGGGACAAGGACAGCACCCCATGCACTACTGCCCAGGCTTGGCACCTGCTGGCCATTCAACTAACGCCCGACGGGACAGCTCTACCTTCTCCAGGTGAGCAGCAAAGAGAAGGATGCCTCCCACTTCCATCTTCCTAGAAGTGACAGAGCAGAGAATCTGGAAACATGAGATCTGGGGGAAGCCGGAACCAGCTGGGTCCTGGGTGAGAAGTGCTGGGGAGGGGCAGGGAACCCCTGCAACTAAGGACTGAAACTGAGTCTTACAGCCAGCTGTGGTGGCTTCCCACAGACGAGAGCAGTGGGAGTGTGCAGGATTCTTAACTCACCTTCCTTGCTGCAGGGCTCAAGGCCAACGGTGCTCAAACTTCAGCAGGCACCTGACTCCCCAGGTTTGTTAGAACAGAACCCTGCCTCCCCCCTCCCCAGAGGTACAGCAAGTAGATCTGCAACAGCCTGAGAATTTTGCATTCCTAACAGACTCCCAGGTGGACTCAGATGCTGCGGATCCAGGGACCTCACCCCTCGAGTCCCCGGAACAGACAATACCACCATCAGGAAGGACAAAACGCCGCAAGGCACCAGCGGTCTCTCATTTGCTCGCTTAACAAACTTTTATTAGATTGGTACCGTGCGCAAAGCCAAGTAAGTGACGCCGACATAATTAGAGCCAGTACTTGTGCCCTCACCTTGGTCACCAGAAAATGGATTGCTACTTCTCAGTGCCCTCCACAGGATTTGCTGTTGAAGCAGAAAATGACACCTACTTTCAGGCACTCCTCAACGCTCAAATGATCTCAGGTTCAAACTCATGACTCGCAGAATAAAGTTTTTGAAGTCCACTCCCATCGGCGAACTCCTCTGCTTCCCTCAATGTCTCTGATTAAATGAGTCATTTTCTTGGATCTCCCTTCCATATACCAACTCCCTCAGTTCGGCAGAAGAGGAGTACGCGGTAGCTATTGGCACTTGGGATTGAGCAAGCAGCAGATGAAGTTCCTTGGAGACCAGGCTAGCAAAGGGTCTCCAGGAGCGTCAGAGGGCGGAGGCAGCCTTCCAGCAGACAGGCAGGCACACCGCTGTGTAACAGCACCCTTTCCCTGTCCCAGGCAGGAGGCGCCTTCTGACATATTCAGTTACCAGTGAGTGCCTGGGCATTAAATCTAAATGGCCCCTGATACGGAATGCCCGGGGAGCATGCAGTTGGATTATTTATGCCCTCTGCACCTGTGGAAGCCGCAGTTTAATTATTTATTTCGTGTCAAGTTTCCAATCCTGGGCTTCCAGGCTGCAGATGAATAAGCACCTCAGTTAAACTGCAGGGGACTCTGGGTCAGCACTCAGCAGGAGTCGGAAAACTGAAGGATTTTAACACCCTGGGTGCCATCTCACTCTCCGCCTGTGGATACCCTAAGGAAATTCAATCAGGTATGGCAGCTTCAAGAACCCTTTGAAGCAACAACACCTGAAAAAATTCAGTTCTGCCCTCTCAATGAAAATGTAACTCAAGAGGTAAAGACACAGCCTTTGAGGCACAGACTCGATACTCTGCCAACACACATTTCACTCGCTGTAGGAGTCCACTGGGCCTCCAATTCCTTCCCAAATTTGGGTGGAGCATGTTTCAAACTTGCTGGAACTCTCAAATGGTGTTTGATTAAAATACTGCGCTTCTACTCCCTTTATGGGCACATGCGTCTGCTGCTTAGGAGCTGTCTCCTTCCCATAGTCACTTTCTCCCTGCCACACTCATTTCTCCTGGAGCCATCAGCCTCTCTCCTCTGAGCCCAGACTGAAAATCCTTCAGTCTTCAAGCATCCTGCTTATGCCTCATTGTGCTCACACCTCCGTCCTGCTCACACCTTCATCACACCACGCCTCTTGGTCCACGCCAGGTGAGCACACTTGAGGGCCTCACCTACCAGGCTTGTGCTTTGCAAGGGCAGGGCCCTTGTCCTTAGTCATTTTTATTTCCACAGTATGTGGAACACAGTAGAAAACCAACGTTGGAGTTAGGGGGATAATATAATTTGTATCATATGTCCTTTTGGATTGAGAGATTTTTCTTTACTAAAAATATTAACTTTGAATTAGTTTACATTTTGACAATGGGGACAATATATTAATGTCAATTTTGTGATATAGAGGTATAATGTTAAATTATTTTTTGCTTTCTAGAAATCGAGTGAAGTGTTTGATAGCATGCTGCCACTGTCCCCTGTGTTTTCTTTTTTTTTTTTTTTTTTTTTGACAGGCAGAGTGGACAGTGAGAGAGAGAGACAGAGAGAAAGGTCTTCCTTTTGCCGTTGGTTCACCCTCCAATGGCCACCACGGCCGGCGCACTGCGCTGATCCGATGGCAGGAGCCAGGTGCTCCTCCTGGTCTCCCATGGGGTGCAGGGCCCAAGCACTTGGACCACCCTCCACTGCACTCCCTGGCCACAGCAGAGAGCTGGCCTGGAAGAGGGGCAACCGGGACAGAATCCGGTGCCCTGACTGGGACTAGAACCCGGTGTGCCAGCGCCGCAAGGCGGAGGATTAGCCTACTGAGCCGCAGCGCCAGCCCCCTGTGTTTTCTCCTCTCTGGAATGATGTACTGTAACTGGACATGGACGGGAGGCACACAGCTCCCTCCTGGGTGGCCGGTGCCTGAGGGTAACCACAACTGGCTTTCGGCCACCCACTTACCTCATTCCGTTATTCCCTGTGGCACTCAACTCTTCTCCCCTGAGAGCCCCACGCTTTTCCCTGCCTGAGCACCGCTCTCCTTATCTGAAATGCCTTCTCTGCCTACCTTCCATGTCCTGCTCAGGTGCCACCTCTTTAAAACTTGCCTCAGCTTTGGATCTGAATCATGACAGAAACAAAGCAGATAGCCCTGAAATCTCACTACTGCAGTCTGCAGCTAGGCTTATAAACCCCAAGGGTTCGCTGACCTGTCAGGTTGGTATTAGAATCTGGGTTTCCCAACTCCTCATCTTGTGTTCCTGAACTACACTGCCTTCTGAAGTCTTGTGGCATTTGTTAGCATAAGCGTTTTTAGAGTCAACTTCTTATGCATCTGTTATATTTCCCTAATGAGATTGTAAGCCCCTTAAGGGCAAGGACTTCTTTGCATTTTTAGCACCACTATAGTGTTCTCTCCTTCGTTATGAACTAGCTAAATAAATGGTGGTGGCAACAAAAATAAAATAAAACACAGTACTAAAGCATATTCTAACAGAACTGGTTACCTTCCGTTTACTATTGTTGGCAGGTCTGTGGTTTGGAAATTACTACTTTAACCCCAACCATCATCAACTCTTCACTTCAAGCAGAGCTACTCAAAATTCAAACCCCAACTCTTCTTCATCTGCCTTTCCTTGCTTTAGTAACTCGAGTCCAATTTCCTGTTGCAAACAAAATGGTTAGATGTCCATTTTGCCATATGTTCTGCTATGGGGAGGCAGTGGCTTGATTCACATACAATTCTGAATTGTATGTGAATTGTTTCTGAAGTCCTGCATAAAGTTGCCAGCTGCTTCATCAGTGTCCCCTTCCCCTTAAAGGTAGCTACCCAAGTTTCTGACATAAGGAACATCCCTGCCCCAACAAACATGGCATACCCAAGAATGAATAACCCTAACAATAAAACAGGATCAAGAGGTTCTAAGCTCTACAATTTGGATGACTGAATCATCTTTTTGAGGACAAAAACTGTCTTTTGGGTTTTTGTTTGTTTGTTTTGACAGGCAGAGTTAGACAGTGAGAGAGAGAGAGAGAGAAAGGTCTTCCTTCCGTTGGTTCACCCCCCAAATGGCCGCTATAGTCGGAGCTATGCCAATCTGAAGCCAGGAGCCAGGTGCTTCCTCCTGGTCTCCTACGCGGGTGCAGGGCCCAAGCACTTAGGCCATCCTCCACTGCCTTCCCAGAGAGCTGGACTGGAAGAGGAGCAACCAGGACAGAATCCGGCGCCCCGACCAGGACTAGAACCAGGGATGCCGGCGCCGCAGGTGTAGGGTTATCCTAGTGAGCTGCGGCACCGGCCAATGTCTTTTGGTTTTAGCTTCACTCCTTAGCTTTCCCAGTGCCCAGGGAGTTGTCTGCTTCGTGTGCTGCTCAATTTGGGAAGCCTGTAGTTACAACAGTGCTTGGCACACAGCAGGCACTCAATAAACACTTGCTGAATGAATGACTCCCCCAGAAAACAACTCCCGGGGACCAGGTGGAAGCACGGGGAAAGTCACAAAGCTCAAGAGCCACACAGATGCTCGTTGCTTCTCCTAGCTCTGTCTGACCCAGTTGCTGAAAAGAAACTTGAGAAATTACAACTTGAGCCAAATATATCACTGGTTCATTCTGTTACACAAATTAAATGGGCTAAAGACCATATAAAAACAAAGTCAGTTTACCAAAGGTGAGGATAATTGCTTGTTGATAATGGTATTCTACCAAAAACCCTACAGAGATCCTAAAATATAAATTATGTCACTAGGATATTGGAATCATTTTTATATAGCCTAATAATCTTATATATACCTTTCCACTTTTAATTGGTCATAAGACACACAGTAAAATATTTTATTAAATATATGGCAAAAATACAATACACATAATTAATAATATATTCAAGCAAACCGCTCAGGTACTTGGTATTTCATAAAGAAGTCACATGTCATTTAAAATGAATTTCACTCTTAGACAAGAAAGTAATTTAATAACCAAGTAGCAATTGATTTTCTAGTAGTTCTGTTTACAAACAGTCATGGTTGAAATGGACAAATGTCTAGAAACACACAATCTACCAAAACTGACCCATGAAGAAATAGAAAATATAAGAAGACCTATAACAAGTAAGAAGATCAAATCAGGATTCAAAAAAGTTAAGTCCTAAGGTGTGGTGTTGTGGCACTGCATGTTACACCATCGCTTTTGAATGACCACATCCCATGTCTGAGTGCCTGGAATCAGATCTCACCTCTGCTCCTGATCCAGCTCTCTGGTAATGCTCCTAGGAGGCAGTAGATGATAGCTCAAGTACTTAGATTCCTGGCACCCACACATGGGGACCTGTATGGAGTTCCTGGCTCCTAGATTTGACTTGACCCAGTCCTAGCTGTTGCAGGCATCTGGGAGTGAACCAGAGAATGGAAGACCTCTCTTTCTCTATCTCTCTCTATATATACCCCCTTTCTCTCTCTTTTTATTTCATGCTGCCTTTCAAATAAATAAATATATAAAAAGTTAGCTTCTAATAAAGGAAATTTTTGGGCCAGATGGATTCACTGGTAAATTCTACCTAACATTTAAAGAATTGATGACAATCCTTTTCAAATTCTTCCAAAAATTGATGAGGAGGGAATATTTCCTATTCATTCTATGATGCCAGTATAATCAGGATACCAAAATCATACAAAGATACTGCATGAAAACAAAACTAAAGAACAGCATCTCTTATGAATACCATGTAAAAATTCCCAACAAAATACTTGTAAGCTGAGTTCAGCAGCACTTTCAAAGAATTCAAGGATAGTTTAATCAAAAAATCAAGGTAACATACAGTATTCATAGAATAAAGGAAAAAAAACCCACATGATCATTTCTCGATGCAGAAAAAGCATTTGACAAAAGTCAATACCTTTTCATGATAAAACTACTCAATAAACTAGTAACTGAAGGGAATTTTCTCAACATGATAAAGGCTTTCTATGAAAAACCCACAGCTAACATCATACCCAATGGTAAAACACTGACAGCTTTCCTCCTGAGATCAGAAACAAGACAAGGATTCTTGCTTTCTCTACTTCTATTCAACAAGGCATGGGAGGCTCTAATCAGAGCTATTAAACAAGCAAAAGAAATGAAAGGTGTTCAAATTGGAAAAAAAGTAAAATTATTTCTGTTCACCAATGGCATGATCTTATAGATCTATATAGAAAATCCTAAAGATTGGGCCAGCGCCATGGCTCAATAGGCTAATCCTCTGCCTGCGGCGCTGTCACCCGGGTTCTAGTCCCAGTCAGGCGCTGGATTCTGTCCTGGTTGCTCCTCTTCCAGTCCAGCTCTCTGCTGTGGCCCGGGAGTGAAGTGAGGATGGCCCAAGTGCTTTGGCCCTGCACCTGCATGGGAAACCAGGAGAAGCACCTGGCTCCTGGCTTCGGATCAGTGCGGTGCGCTGGCCGCAGCGCGCCAGCCGCAGCGGCCATTGCGGGGTGAACCAACAGAAAAGGAAGACCTTTTTCTCTGTCTCTCTCTCTCTCTCTCTGTCCACTCTGCCTGTCAAAAAAAAAGAAATCCTAAAGATTACACACACACACACATACACACAACTATTTGGGCTAGTAAATAAATAGTAAAGTTGCAGGATACAAAAATCACACATAAAATCAGCTGCATTTTTATATACTAGTAATGAATAATCCATTAAGGAAAATATGAAAGCAGCTACATTTATAATAGCACCAAAAAGAATAAAATACTTAGGAATAAAGTTAATCCAGGAGATGAAACACTTTTACATTGAAAACTGCAAAGCATTGCTTAAAAACATTGGAGAAGACATAAATAAGTGGAGGCATCTCATGTTCATAGATTGAAAGATTTAATATTGTTTGTTTTGTTTTGCTTAGAGACACAGAGAAAAATCTCCCATCTATTGATTCATTCCCGCAGAAGACTGTAACAGCCAGGGCTGGGCCACGCCACAACCAGGAGCCCAGAATATAATTCAGGTCTCCTGCTAATGCATACCCCATAAGACTTAATGTTAGGTGACCTACAGACTCAATGCAATCCCTATCAAAATCTAAATCACTTTTTTTGCAGAAATAAATATTTATCCTAAAATTTATATAGACTCTCAGGGATGAACCCAAACAACTAAAAACATCTTGAAAAATAAGAACAAAGTTAAAAAACTCATAATCTTGATTTTAAAATTAACTACAAAGCTACAATAACCAAAACAGTATGCTCCTGGCATAAGGGGAGATGTATAGTCCAATGGTAAGGAGAGGGAGCCTAGGGAGAAAAATCAACTTCTCACATACAAGCTCACTTGATTTTTCCCAAGAGTACCAAGAACATTCAGTGAGTAAAGCTGCTGCCTGTGGTGCTGGCGTCCCATATGGGCGCCGGTACAAATCCCAGCTGCTCCACTTCCAATCCAATTCTCTGCTAATGTCCTGGGAAAGCAGTGGGGGCTGACCCACATGCTTGGGCAGGCCCCTGCACCCATGTGGGAGACCCCGAAGAAACTCCTGGCTCCTGGCATCAGATCAACTCTGCTCTAGCCATTGCAGCCATTTTCTGTCTCTCCCTCCCTCAGTCTGTAACTCTGCCTCTCAGATAAATAAATAAAAATCTTTTTAAAAATGTATGCAAACAATTGCAACATGGCTAAAAGACACTCTACAGAATACCTATTATTCTTCAAAGTGGTAAAGGTTATAGAAAACAAAGGCTGAGAAACTGTCGGAGGAGACAGAGGGGAAATCATGAACTAAACGCCATGTGGGGTCCAGGATGGGATTCTGGGACAGGAAATGGATGTCAGTGAGTAAGTAAGGAAATCTGAATAACACCTACAGTTCAGTTAATCATAGTGTAACGATCTTTCTTTTTTTAAGTTTTATTTATTCACTTGAAAGTCAGAGTTACACAGAGAAAGAAGAAGAGGCAGTGAGAGAGAGAGAGAGAGAGAGAGAGAGAGGTTTTCCATCTACTGGTTCACTCCCCAAATGGCTGCAATGGCTGGAGCTGTGCTGATCCGAAGCCAGGAACCAGGAGCTTCTTCTGGGTCTCCCAAGAGGGCGCAGGGGCCCAAGGATTTGAGTCATCTTCAACTGCTTTGCCAGGCCAAAGCAGGGAGCTGCATGGCAAGTGGAGCAGCCAGGACTCGGAACACCCATATTGGAGACAGCATCCATATTGGGATACCAGCACTGCAGGCTGGGGCTTTAACCTGCTGCACCACAGCGCTTCCCAAGGATCTTAATGTCTCCATTTTGGCCAATGTATCAGGCTGTGGAACGCATTAACTACAGGGGAAGCTAAGTGAAAGGCATATGAGGACACTCTGTACTTGCTACCTTTCTAGAAATCTAATATGGTTCCCAAAGAAATATTTATTTTTCAAAAAATACAGAGTTAGAAAGGAAATGTTTGAGAATACAGAACTGATGTTTGGATCTGTATGAGGTAGATAACAAAAATTATACCTGTTTCACTTTTCAAATACAAATAATGTAAGTTTAAGCAAAAAACAACAACAAAAACCAGTTGAGGCACTGATTCACAAACAGCTATGTAGTGGTGGGTGCCCACTGTCTCTCATCCAAAACCCAGGGAGCCAGATCTGCTTTGAGGTTTAGAATCCTTTTCATTCCACAAAATAAGCAATGGTGCCTGTGCTGCCCACACACCGCAGCGGGGCTCAAGGCAAGCACTCCAGCGTCTGCTCTCTGCAGCGTGGGGTCACGACCCACCTCCAATGCTCCCATCCTTCCAAGTCAGAGTCTGACATCAGATCATTTTGTTCAAAACTCAACAAAAAACAATGCTCAGTTTTCAGAGCTGTTTGGATTTCAAAATTGCAAGAAAGGAATTGTGGACTGGATTAACAATAATAATAATCAATACAAAGGAATAAAACTTCTGATTTTTAGTCAGATTTCAAAGTTTCTAAAAATTATCCCCTTTTTTCTGTCTCTATTTTTTTCTAACGATTTATTTATTTGAAAGACAGAGTTACAGAGAGGCAGAGGCAGAGAGAGAGAGAAAAAAAGATCTTCCATCTGCTGATTCACTCCCTAAATGGCTGCAACAGCCAGAGCTGGGCTGATCTGAAGCCAGGAGCCAGGAGCTTCTTCAGGTCTCCCTCGTGATGGCCCCAAGGACTTGGACCATGTTCTGCCGCTTTGTAAGTGCATTAGCAGGGAGCTGGATCATAAGTGGAGCAGGACTCGAACTGGTGCCCAAATCAGATGCCAGACCTGCAGGCGGGGGCTTTACCAGCTACACCACAGCACCAGGCCCTTTTTATTTATTTATTTATTTTCACATTTTGGGTTGACAGTCATGACACAGAGGAAGGACAAAGAGGGCTTCTACGATGCTGACAATGTTTTATTTCTCCTTGTAAATTTTTAGATCGGCGTATAAAATTTGTACTTATTTATGGGCACTTCTAATTTGATGCACCTACAATGTGTAATGACCACATCAGAGTAACTGCATTTTCATCTCTGCAAAAATCAATGCTGTGTCGAGAACCTCAAACTCTCTTTTGTATTTTGGTACCAGTTTCCCAAACTCTCACCCCCTCCCCCAGTCATGGTGGTCTCTAGTGACCTCTGCTCTACTCTCTACTTACATTATCAACTTTTTTAGCATCCATGAAAGAGAGCGAACTTCCAGAGTTTGTCTTTCTGCGAATGTTTTATTTCTTAATCCAGGGGCGGTTAGAAGAGTGAACATTCAAGAAGCTATGCCCTTTACAGTTGTGTACTTCTCTATATATTAAATGTTGACACACTGTTTGCTTAAATAGCAGCAACCATACAACTAACTTATCACCACAAAATGTTAACGGGGCAAGACATGTCCCTGGCATTTCCCAGCTCCACAGAGGTGAGGTGACCTGCCCAAGGTCACAGGGCAAAGTGGTGGGACAGCACAGACCCCAAGCTCAACTCCCGAACTGCTGTGCAAAACAGGAGATTTCTGTTTCAAACATTTGTTCTACAATATGTGTTACTAATTAACTGGGAAAACGTGTAATACCATCACAGTGGAGTTAATACCAAGACATTTTTTTCTCATTTAGATTTATTTTTTCCCATGAAATCACTGAACTGATGTCTGGATCAGATGTCCCCGTTTAATTTGGTGTAACTATGCTTCTCTCTAATAATGCATAAAACCATCAATGACCATAAATACAATTTAAGTGTTTTGTCACATCATCCGACTTAATCATTCTGCTATAAATATATCACGCATGATTTAAATCACATTGATTGGGCTCATCACTAAAATAAAAACATTCACCTTCTGGCTAGCCATGACATTTTAAGGTAAGAAAAGGGAACATAATTTGGGCCCCTTTGATTTATGTACTTTTAATATGTTAATACCTTCCTAGTCACTACCATATGACAGCTTTTCCTTTTGTTTAATTTACAATCTTGCTTTTGGTAGTCTGCAATCTTGTAATAGGCAGCTGAACTGGGACAGTAATGAAAAAGCCCTAGCTTAACCAGAGAACACAATTTAATGATTTCTTCCACTGTAAAAAGACCAGGAAAGATGAAAGATGCATACAAACAAGAAATTCCAAATACCAGGCATCTGCAAACCCCAGTCCTCTTGGATAAGGCTGTAATTTCCCTAAAAGAACACATGAAAACCAGGAATTCTTAACTGGGCTCTTATCTATACAGCTTGACAGTCTGTGAAAACTGGGGGGGGTGGGGGGGGTGGGGGGGGGGGGACTGGGCCCATGCTTTGATCAGAATCTTAAAGGGACCTGTGACCTTACATACAAGAAGGGTAAAGAGGGGGCCAGTGCTGTGGTGCAGCAGGTTAAAGCCCTGGCCTGTGGCACTGGCATCCCACATTAGCTCCGGTTCAAGACCCAGCTGCTCTGCTCCCAATCCAGCTCCCTGCTAATGAGCCTGGGCAGGCAGTAGAGGATGGCCCAAGTCCTTGGGCCCCTGAGCCCATGTGGGAGACCCAGAAGAAGCTCCTGGATCCTGTCTCCTGGCTTCAGATAGGCTCAGGTCTGGCTGTTGTGGCCATTTGGGAAGTAACCAGCAGATGGAAGACCTCTCTTTCTCTCTCTGTCTCTACCTCTCTCTGTCACTGTCTTTCGAATAAATAAAATAAATATTTTAAAAAAAAAGAGGAAGAAGAAAGTTAAGATCTGGTCGCAAGACCCCTTGGTTCTATCCCACATTGTACCAAACCTGTAAACAGCCTTGCTGGCATCACGTAGCTCAGACTGCATCTCGGATCCTCACAAGAGCCCATGATGGAGGCAGGTAGATCTGGCTCTGTTTTGCAGCTGAGTGTAGTAACCCTCACACGACTGAAGAACTTGTCAGAGCTATGTGGCCACATTAAATGTGGGTGCAAAATGCTGGGCACAGTTCCCATCAGAGCTACCTGCAGGCTTATGTTAAATAACTGTGAGGAGCTAGGAGGTCTCTTAAAAGTTCTCCTGTTATTTCATTCTGAGCCATTGGGTTTCTAAAATAAAGACCTCACAGCACATAAAATCATTACAGAAATGCAATTCTCAGTGCATAAGTTTTAATTTGGGCCAGCACTGTGGTTCAGTGGGTTAACGCCCTGGCCTGAGAGCACCGGCATCCCATATGGGCGCCAGTTCAAGACCCGGCTGCTCCACTTCCATTCCAGCTCTCTGCTATGGCCTGGGATAGCAATAGAAGATGGCTCAAGTCCTTGGGTCCCTGCACCCACATGGGAGACCCAGAAGAAGCTCCTGGCTTCAGATCGGCAGAATTTGGATTGCGGCCAATTGGGGGAGTGAACCAGCAGATGGAAGACCTCTCTCTCTCTCTCTCTCCCTCTCCTCTCTCTGTGTAACTCTGACTTTCAAATAAATAAATAAATCTTTAAAAAATAAGTTTTAATTTATGTTTAGACAGCATGCAAAAAAAAAAATCTATCCCTGAGCACATTACTTAATGTTGATCAGGTTAGCTCCATGCCCTCCCAGTGCCCAAGGTGACCTCAAACTCAAACTTGGCTCTTTGTTTTCTGTTTGCCTCCCAGCCACTCCCTTTCCAGGCACTAAATCCACCAAGGGCAGCAGCAGCTCTCTTCCTGCATCTTCCAAGCCTGCAGCTGGGTGTCCTCGCCTACCCATCCTCCCTGGGAGCCTCACCTGGCTTCTTTCCATCTTATTAAGGAGGACGAGGGACTTGCTAACCAAAATAGCAAAGAAAAGTACATTCTGCTGTCCCCATTCTATCGAGGTGCTCAAATACCAGAGCTATCTTCCAGTTACCCCATGACCACTGTGAACAGTCTGACCTGACAGAATATAGCTCTGTCACCGGTCTCCAAGTCAAAAATAGATCACCCACCACTCAGAAGGCACAGGGCTCTTTCCCACCCTTATCTCCGACACCAGCAGCTCCGTGAAACGCGCCGAGCCCTTGATGGAATGCAACATACAATCAGCGGTATGCTTTCCAAATCACTTCTCTTTGACAGGTCCACCAAGGACAAGATGACAAGAAGTCCATGAGGTCGTGTGTGCAGCGCACTGAGTGTCCACAGCCATCACAAGCCCCAGGGAGGACAGCAGAAGCCCACACAACAGCTTTCCCAGATCAGCAGCTGCTGCAATTGCCTTGTCTTATGACTGAGCAAACCCACCCCCTGCTGCCTCTTGGACAGGCTGCCCTCCTGTGCTACAGGTTTTGTGAATATGTTCACTGCCCAAGACGTCAGGATCCACCAGTTGTCCAGATACTTCACCAGCACTTACTTCTCCTTACTTGTCTCATGCACTTTTCCAGGGAAAGGGGGTTGGGGAGCATCAGGGAACGGGGTATTTCGATGGCCCTAAGCTTCAAGAGATCTACATCTGGGGCTGATGTGGTAGCAATGCAGGTAAAGCTATCACCTGGACAATGGCAACCCATTTGGGCACCAGTTCAAATCCCAGCTGCTCTGCTTCCAATCCAGCTCCCTACTAGTGGCCTGGGAAAGGCAGCAGAAGATGGTCCTAGTGCTTGGATCCCTGCTACTCATGCAGGAGCCCTGGATAAAGCTCCTGGCTCCTGGCTTCCTTCTGACCCAGCCCTGGCTGTTGCAGCCATCTGGGGAGTAGACCTGCAGACAGAAGACCTGAGTGTGTGTGTGTGTGTGTCCCTCTCTCTATATAACTTTTTCTAATAAATAAATAAATCTGATGGAGAACGATCTATAAGTCTGTGACTTTATTAGATGGCCCCACAGTGAGTGGAATAAACATGTGGTGACAAAGTCTATGATTCTCCCTTGTAAATTTTCCTTTAAAGTGCCTGAACTTCCACAAAGCTTTGTAATACACACTTCTTTAGGGGCTAAAGAGGGTAGAAATTAAGATGTGATTTATGAGGCTTTGAATTATATACCAGGAAAATCAGAAGTTCCCAAACTCCTTTGTTTGTCTTTATTTATTTATTTATTGGCAAGGCAGAGAGAGAAAAAGAAACCTAACCCCTAAATGCCTAAAAGCCGTATCTAGGAGCCAGGAATTCAATCCAGGTCTCCCATGTGGGCTGCAGGGACCCAAGACCTTGGGTCATCATCTGCTCCCTCCTGGATTGTGTCTTAGCAGGAAGCTGGATATGGAACTGGGAATCAAACCCAGGCATCCCAGTATGGATTGCAAGTGTCCCAAGTGATGTCTTAACTGTTGCAGCAATTTGTTTATCTTCTGTTTTGTTTTGTGTTCTAAAAATGTCTTCTGTAAATGAAAATTCTTGTTTTTTCAATTTTTCCCTACACTGACATTATGGGAGAATTCTTTTCATGAATTTCTTTAAATTCTGAATGAATTTACTCATTCCCCCAAAAACTAATTAATTAAAAGTCTTTATAAGTGAGGCATACAAGCCTGTCCTTAGCCACAGATGTGGCTTGATTTTTATTTCTTCCTTCCATCATCATTGGCCAAAAAGCCCTAAAAAAAATTTTTTTCTGAAGTCATAGAAAAAGCCAATGAAAACATAAGAGGCATAGTCACTCTTCACCATTTACCTAATCTTCCATATGGCTACTACTGCAAAAAATTTAATCATACGGAGAAGTTTCTCCTATTTGAGAAAACTGACTCAACATGTTCATTTTGTTTTTAAAGGCAGATCAAATAGATTTGGAAAAAAGAATTGAAAGCCTGATTCTCTTGCTGACTGAGGCAAAAAACATTTAAATCGACATTTTACTTTTATTTAGAAATGAGCATACAAAAGCAATGAATCTCTATTTACTCTAGACTCTGAATCTTAGCAGCAAGTTTTTCTACTTTTAAAATAAACTTCCCTAACAAATAACATAACATGAAAACTGTTCAAGAGCAAGAGGGGAGCAAGAGTTAGTTACTTGAACCACACTCAGAATTCAAAATAGACCCAGAATTTCCAAGAAAATACTACAAACTCCTCTTGAACACAAAATTAATGAAAACTAGCTACCAGCTCCAATTGCCCTAATGCTGACACTCTCACTGCAAGGCGGGCAGCTGTGTAGTAGATTGAGATTATACAGTTGGCCAGTGCTTTGGGTTGAAAAATAAAACTGCCTTCTGCCATTAACAAGTTACCAAAACCTATTAGCTCTGGAGGCCTCCAGATGTCCACAAATTTGTTACTAGAATAAAGTCAACAATGAAATCAATAAGGTGGCCAACATTTAGATGAAACCAAAGAAATCCAAACGGTGTGATACTTGGCAAAAATATGGAATCATAGCCCCAAAAGGGAAAAAAAAAAAAAAAAAAAAACCTTGTATCTATTTCAATATGAATAATTGAAAGATAAACAACTGGGGGATAAGGAACATAGGAATTCCAGTTAACAAATGTAGAGAAATGAGTGAAATAAAAAAACCACAATTAGAATATGGTGGTGGGAACTCTTGAAGGCAAGTGCCACCCAGGGATGCTAAGACCAGCAGGTAAAATCTAGTGAGAAACAAGATATTTGCATAATGTTTCAGTAACACCTTCAAAACAGTCTTAATTACAAAGAAAAACAATTGCAACTTTTAACTTTACAGTTAACACCACCTTCAGCAACTGGGTAACTGGCGCACATCCCTTCCATGAGATTCCTTCTTAAAAATCCATCACCTCGTGCTGACAACGTGGCATAGCAGGTTAAGCTTACCCCCGTGGCACTGGGCACCAGTTCGAGTCCCAGATGCTCCACTTCCAATCCACCTCTCTGCTATGGCCTGGGAAAGCTATGGAAGATGGCCCAAATTCTTGTGCCCCTGCACCCACGTGGGAGACCCAGAAGAAGCTCCTGTTTCCTGGCTTCAGATCAGCCCAGCTCCGGCTGTTGCGGCCATCTGGAGAGTGAACCAGTGGATGGAAGACCTTTCTTTCTGTCTCTCCCTCTCATCCGTAACTCCACCTCTCAAATAAAATCTTTTCCAAAAAAAAAAAAAAAAGCATCACCTATTCTAATAATGAGAACACATCAGACAAACTCACGTCCTGGAGCACATTACAACAGAATTTGTCAAACTGCAGCCTGATGACCAAGTCCAAACCTCTGCCCATTGCCATACACTCAGTGAGACTGGCACACGGCCATGGTCATTCATTGACACCTTGTCTAAGGCTGTCTTTGTGCTACCACAGTAAAGATGAGCTGCTGTGACCGTAGGACCTGCAAAGCCAAAAATACAATCTGCCCCTTGATGGCTAAGATTGGCTGATC